CAGCACCAGGATAAGAGTCCTTTGTCTACAAACTCAGTTACTAAATTCCCTCCCTGCCTTCTCTTTTTTTTCTGGCTGCACAAAAGGTAATTCAAGACTAGTTTTGTCCTCGTCCCAAAGAGTGGCATCTTTGTTATCCACAAGCCTTCAAAGCTTGGCTGCAAAAGTTCTATGTGATTGAAGGGCAGGGACCGGCAGTCATAAAGAGGGCATCTCCTTTGAGCCCGGCTTGTTTCCTGAGACGTTCGGCGGGTGACTGAGCCATTTTCCTTTGAGGCTCAACCTCAGAAGAGGCAGTTTGATCGTGGAAGAGCAATCACCGATCTTTATTGATTTATTTATTTTATATCCCACCCATTTAGACCGAAGTCTACTCTGGGCGGCTAACAACAATATTAAAATAAAATAAAAGTTCTTTTTAAACCCCGTCATCCTCTGGCTGTACCCTGTCTCCCCGAAAATAAGACAAGGTTCTTATATTAAGTTTTTCTCCAAAAAAATGCATTAGGGCTTATTTTCAGGGGATGTTTTATGTTTTTTTCATCTACAATCATCTACATTGATTCAAACGCAGTCATGCCTTCTTCTGGTTGCTGCACAAGGGTGGAGGGCAGGGTTTCACTTAACCAGGGCTTATTTTTGGGGTAGGGCTTATATTGGGGGCATCCTGAAAAATCATACTAGGACTTATTTTCAGGTTAGGTCTTATTTTAAAGGAAACAATGTAATGAAGGTTAAAATACAGAGTTCCAGGGAACTACAGGAAGGGTCATGTGGGCACATACGGAGAGCAACATTTAAAAAAGATAACAAAAAATCCGAGTTGGGTGAGCATTCAAGCCTTGTAAAACTCACTCATCATTGCTGGGCTGTACAAAACTCATCTTAGAGAGATGGTTGAGTCATAAAGGCTGTGGTTACTGAAGTCCCAGAATGAAGATTGCAGTCTTGAAAAGCCAGTATCAGTTGTGGTGGTCTCCTCGAGGGACGTAGAACCCTTAGTCTTTCTCCACTGCCATAGACAGAAAAAAGACATGCCGGTATCCAACATTACAATCCATTTCTTTGCACTAAACTGCGTGGCTCTTGTGTTGGTTTGGAACAGAGGCGCTAAGAAGCATGACAATCCTACATCAGCAAAGCAGGAAATCCTGATGGAGAGTTCTGATTGACCCCAAAGCTTGCCTTTTTAACAGTGTTTTGATAGGCCAAGGAAGGTAGAGAGAGGCATGAAACTTAATTTGGTGACCAGGGGGAAGGGAATGTAGTGGTACCGTGTGCAGGATCAGGCACGAACTTCCGAACCAAGGTTCGCGCCTGTCAACTGACCAACTCTCGACAGACCAACGGTTTCTTATATTACCCATGGAGTAATGAGTTGCTCCTGTTGCTACAGAGAGCAGATATATCAAATGAGGATCGTTGAGAGGGACACACACAAACACAATGATCTTGCAGAAAACAGACTGGAATTTGCTGATACGTCTCTGGGTAATTTACAGCCGAGCTGCTGGAGATTTGAATACAGTTATTTGATAACATCAAAAACAGAGGTTTTCCTCTTAATTAGTTTTCTGAAAATAAAGAAGCTCAGGAGGAAGGGACCAGGAATGGAGTGGTGGGGGTGAAAGTACAGTGAACTCGGGTCTAGAATACGAAACAAATTCTGTTTCTTGCTTCGAAGAGCTGTCTGCCCTCATCGGTCACCCTATGGGTAACCTTGAGGGTTCTGATAACGATCAAGTAAGCCCTGAAAACTTGAAGTTGGTAGACATTCAAGTGTGCTCTTAATCCCGCAAAGGACAGAGCTGTGTGAGGTCTACACAAAGATGGCAAATTTCTATGGGAAGGCCATTTCCCAAAGACGGAATTTTTGCTAGCAAAATGTGTTGTTGCTGAAGGATGTGTACAGGAGCATTCCTGGGGCATAGAGGATGCTCCAAGATAGGGTGTCTGTGTGTGCACTGATGCACTCACGCACATGGATGAAAACTGGAACCTAAACCGGTCGCCTGCCCCCCTGTTCCTCTGGCCTCCTGTCCCTCCCATTGCTGGGGGTCAGAGATAAGGTCTGACCTGCTGCTTAGACTGCCTATGTCTCATTCCAAAGCTCTTCAGAGGAAGCCTGACACAGTTCTGCTTAATGACACTTTGCTGTCACCCCCCGACCAGCATCTGCCACCAAAGGAAGCTGCCTAATTTCTCAGTGGCAAACCTGACCCTGGCTGCACACCGTTTGCATCCACCTGTGCTTTACTGGTCCGGTCCAGGCAGGACTGGGCTCCCGCATCCCCAAACAACAGAATGAACCACTCCGGCACGGGCTGCCAGGGGGCTCAATCTCTGACCGACATGGTTGGGGGGGGGAACACACCATGTGGAAGACTATACCAGTGCAAATTTTCAAGTGGGGAATCTCATAATGAAGCTCAACATAAAAAAACCCTAAAATCATGGCCATTGGTCCCATCACCTCCTGGCAAATAGAAGGGGGAGATATGGAGGCAGTGACAGATTTTACTTTCTTGGGCTCCATGATCACTGTAGATGGTGACAGCAGCCACGAAAGTAAAAGATCCCTGCTTCGAGGGAGGAAAGCGATGACAAACCTAGACAGCATCTTACAAAGCAAGAGACATCACCTTGCTGACAAAGGTCCGAATAGTCAAAGTTATTCCTGTCGTGATGTATGGAAGTGAGAGCTGGACCATAAAGAAGGCAGACCACTGAAGAATTGATGCTTTTGAATTGTGGTGCTGGAGGAGGCTCTTGAGAGTCCCCTGGACTGCAAGGAGAACAAACCTATCAACTCTAAAGGAAATCAACCCTGAGTGCTCACTGGAAGGACAGATCCTGAAGCTGAGGCTCCAATCCTTTGGCCATCTCACGAGAAGAGAAGACTCCCTGGAAAAGACCCTGATGTTGGGAAAGTGTGAAGGCAAGAGGAGAAGGGGACGACAGAGGACGAGATGGTTGGACGGGGTCATGAATCTGACCCAACTCCGGCAGGCAGTGGAAGACAGGAGGGCCTGGCGTGCTCTTGTCCATGGGGTCACGAAGAGTCAGACAGGACTTAACCAAACAACAACAAATCTCATAATCGGATTCTCTGCCCCAAAGAAAATTTTAACATTTACCTCTTTAAATGAAAAACTTTCTGTTTTCTTGGATCATAATACAAATTAACTGAAAGCTAAACCCACAATGTTGTCTGGGTTAATTCGATCTGTTTGACTGGGACTGTGGTCAACTTTCATTTACAATTGATGTTACAAACACCATGAGGTTTGTTTGCCACAACAGGGGATCTGTATGTGGTCTTGATTTCTCTTTTTGGGAAATGCTACGACTCGAAACCTGTCTTGCAAGCGTGAGAGTCAGTCTTGATGTTGTTCTTCTCACTGTGCTAGTCACAAAACTCAAGGTCAACCCTACCTTGCAGGGTTATCATGTGGGTAAAATGGGGAGAGAACCATATACATCACCTTGAGCTCCTTGGATTAAATATGGACACCTCATACTCATCCCCATGATTTGACTATTGGGGCTTGTTGTTGTTGTTTAGTTGTTAAGTCATGTCCGACTCTTTGTGACCCCATGGACCAGAGCACGCCAGGCCCTCCTGTCTTCCTCTGCCTCCTGGAGTTGGGTCCAATTCATGTTGGTCGCTTCGATGACCCTGTCCATCCATCTTGTCCTCTGTTGTCCCCTTCTCCTCTTGCCCTCACACTTTCCCAGCATCTGGGTCTTTTCTAGGAAGTCTTCTTTTTGGGGGCAGCAGGTATGAAAGTCTAATATTTAGTACATTTTTGGGGTAGCAGGTATGAAAGTCTAATATTTAGTACAGTAGTAC